CTACCTATTTTAATCCTTTCAAAGATCTTGTGGTCTTTGTCAAAAGAAAACAAATAAGGAATATGTGTCTATTTCAGATATGGCTCTTTCATGTGTTCTGGGAATGAATTGTTTGGCTCATTTTGAAGGTGGGGTTTACCCCTGAGAGTTTCAGCAGCAGTGTCTTGTACATTCTCTTTCTGTCTCATAGTCAGTGTGATTAGGATGCCTGAGTACAGCATTGTCCTGTGACGACTGAAGCCAAGTCCTGTACAAGAGACCTCCTGAGCAGAGCAACAAGGAACTATTGCCATAAGAACTGCTGATGTGGATTGGATGTTTCCCACATTCCAGGGAGTATTCCAAGTGCTGTGTATCTGCTGGCCCAAACAATTTTCAAAGTAGCCCTATGACCTTTGTGCTAGTTCTTTCTGAGTTTCAGAATGATTCCACTGAGGTACAGAAAATTGAATCAAGGCCTCAAAACTAATGAGGGAGAGAGCTCAGGCTAAAGCTCAGAAACGTTGAGTACCCAATCACTTCTTTCTGATATTCGAGATAGATTGCTTCTTTTCCATGTCTACATAAGATGATAGAATTCATATTCATGAAAATGAATAAAGAAAATATAACAAGAGTCAGTGGATGGAGTAAAAAGGTTGGTACACTTAAAATCATGACGTGGGATTTCTGATTCGGACTCACTTCAGTTTGCTTTTGGGTGGACTATTCAATATAGGCTGCTTTTCATCTGTAAAATACAGATTGATTTTACGCTATTTAATTTAATGCCCTTTATTTGTCTCATTCCAGACATTTAAAATCACCCTTCTGTATATGAGCTCACCTCAGCTGTCTAGAAATTCTTTAAGAAACTTGAGGGTGGTAACTGCCTCCCAACCTTCACTTGCATTTGTCACATCAGCAGTAAGCATCTGCAGACTCCAAATTCAACGTCTCTTCAGAGTACATCCTCATGCCTTGTTTTATGCACACAAAAGAACTTCTGAAGTGTAAAGCTGTCAGTGTTAACTTCAGTAACTGATGTGGCACTCAACGGTGGTGTGACGGTGCCTTCAGTGAGAGAAGGCTGAAAAGCAAGGACGGTTTGGGAATGAATTTGAAGGAGCCAAACTAGCTTGGGTCAAAACCACATGAATTCTTAATTTATTTTGTTTCAGTCTTTTCAGAAATGTAAGGCTGATGGAGGAATATGCTGCTTCTCTGTGAATTCCTTATTTGTAAATGAAACGATAAATGTTTGAGCAGCTGTGATTGTAAAATTAGGACGCATGCTACACAGAGAAACTCTGTCTTGAAAAAAACAAAGCAACAGCAACAAAAAGAAAGAAAAAGAAAAGAAAACAACTCCGCTCCCCAGAACTCCCCACCCCCCAAAATTTCCAGGCAGTGATGGCCCACGCCGGAGGCAGAGGCAGGAGGATCTCTGTGAGTTCAAGGCCAGCCTGGTCTACAGAGTGAGTTTCAGGACAGTCAGAGCTACACAGAGAAACCTTGTCTCGAAAAATGAAAAAAAAAATGAGCAAGATATATAATGCATTGAATTATTGGGTTTTGGAGCGCCTGCCCCTCAGAAACAGCTGTTCCCTCATGTACTTCTGGAGGATGGCTGCTATGTAGAGTCGAGTGCTGGGGTCACATTCCAGGGCTCACCTGCAGCTGAACCGAAAGCTCAAACACCTCCTCCCTCCCCCAAGATCCAACCCCATCCACCCTCGCACTCCCCCACCCGCTCCTGCTCTGTCTCTTGAGGCTTAGCTGCTCAGCGGAGGCTCCTTTTTATAGCTCCGGCTCACCCTAAAGTTAGCCAGGAATGCACAGGCCCTCCGTCCCAGGCACTCCCTCTACTCCAGTTACCAGAAGGTCGCAGTTATGGGAGGCCACAGTGCCAGGGTGCCTGCCCCAAACTCTGACCACGCAAGTCACTTTAAGCAACACAGAAACTTGGATCCTCTGTATTTTCTTCAGACATAAAAAGCCCAGAACGTGCACTTTCCGAAGCGCTGGAGGCACCCACCTGACTCCTTGAAAAGCGGTATAAAAGCTGTCCCTTGTTGCAGAGGGTCAGCTGTGTCGTTAAAAAAAACGAAAGCCTGCCACTTCCAACCGCCAGCTTGGTTTTCATTTTTAATTTTTCTTTTCGTTTTTGGGGTTGGGGAACGTGCAGCTCAGAGGACAACTCGTGGGAGACGGTTCTCTGCTCCCACCGTGGGGTCCGGGCTTGTTAATAAAGCTTTGTCTCTCACTCTGGAGTCCTCCGTGCAACGGGGCGTGGGGGGATGGGGGCCAGGGGTGGGGGGCCGGCACTGTTGCTCCGCTGCAGCGTTTCCCACACGCCCGCCAGCCTCCTTCATCTGCCGTGGCCAGGGCCCAGTCCTCCTGGGAGTCCAAGGCGGTGATGGTGGCCACTTTTTGTTTTTTGAGACACGGTTTCTCTGTGTAGCCCTGGCTGTCCTGGAACTCTGTAGACCAGGCTGGTCTCGAACTCATTGAAACCCACCTGCCTCGGCATCCCAAATGCTGGGATTAAAGGAGTGTGCCACCATCACCTGGCTCGAAGGCAGCTCGCTCCTCTTACACATCTTTCTCCTCAGCCCTTGCTGCCCTGCAGTCCAGCTCCTTGCCCACCACCCCATCAGTCCCTGCCCCTCTTTCCCATCTACCCCTTCCTACATTATCCCGAGTCATATCTCATGGGGCCTCCCAATTTCGCTGTCAGGGCTGGGAAAGGATGCACACAGATGCCATTTAGGTTACTGCTAATTGACCTCTCCGCAGACTGGTAGGTTTCAGGGCAAAACAGTACTGTCTCTAAGGCTCCTCACTTATGCTGCGTGTATTGTGTGTGTGCATTGTGTGTAGGGGTTGGGGAGCTGACCGAGGAGGCCAGAGGCATGGCGTCCCCTGGAGCTGCAATTCACAATCAGCTTTGAGTCACCAATGTGGGTGCTGGGAACCAAACGCTTCTTCAGGAGCCCAATGCAGTCTTAACTCCAGTTCTGGGGGATCTAACACCCTCTCCTGGTCTCCACAGGTCCTGCAATGTATGGGGTGCATATACATTTAGGCACCAGTCATATAGACACATTAAAAAAACTGAATAAATAAATAATATTTTAAAATTACAGTCTCTCTTAAGCCTATTTCCCTCCCAGTTATTTCCTCTTAAGGGCCAAATTCCTCCAAAACAATGATCATAGTTTTTGCCAACTTCTGAACATCTTCTACCTTCAATTAAGTCAAATGCTACTTCCTTCCTGCCCCCATTTCACGGGAAATACACTGGCCCGAGGGTCCCTGTGACATCTGGAGGGGTTACCCGAGTGGACTCTTCTCAGTATGGACCTTCCTTAACACCGCTGCAATGTTTGAAGTGGCCCAATGCTGTCTGTCCCCTTACAGCCATCTCCCCTAGAGAAGACACTGTCCTCGCCTGGCTGCTGGCGCCATCTGCTGGTATTCCTGGTGTTATATTCCACTTGTTTTCTCTCTATTCCTCTCCCTGGGGTCTTTAGCTCCTCCAAGGATGGCATCCCGGCCAGGTGGGTGAAGAGATAGTCGAGTTGTCTAGACAAATAGCAATCCCTAAGTCTTTGCTTCTACTGTGTGAAAAACCCCACACTGAAGTCAGCATGATGACACCCACAGACTTCTGGGAGAAGCAAACATTTTCCTCCATGCAAATCTCCACAACCCAAGACCCTGAGGACACTAGTGTCAAGGAATTCCTCTCCATGCTGAGCTAGCTCACTGAAACATGAGTATTGTGCCTGCGGCTGACATTGCACTTAATATGCATGCTTTCTCCCCAGTACTGGGAATAAGGGACAGATGTCCACTCTCAACACTATAATTCAAGACAGTCAGACAAGTTCTATCCACTCCAATAAGGTGGGAAAGGGATGGATCTCTGTTTGCAGTTGACATGATTATGTAGAAAATCCCAAGGAATTTGTTTCTAAAAACAAATAAATCTAGAATAATGGGGTGAGGCCCACAGACACCTGGTGTGTGACTTCTGACCTCTGAGGCCGTGAGAAGACAAACCTCTTCTGTTTATTTTTGTTTATTTATTTTAGAGGACAGATATCACTAAATCATAGCAGTCTTGGCCAGTTTTCCATCCTGGCCTCAGCACTTTATAAAATTTATTTATTTATGTATTTTTTTTAATGTATGAGTGCTCTGTCTGCATGTACATCTACAGGCCAGAAGAGGGCATCAGATCCCATTATAGATGGTTGTGAGCCACCATGCACCATGGGGTTGCTGGGAATTGAACTCAGGACCCCTGGAGGCACAGTCAATGCTCTTAACCGCTGAGCCATCTCTCCAGCCCATGGCCTCAGCACTTCTAAAAATTATCCCTACACCACTACGTTTCCATCTGCACATTGCAGGAACCCCAACCAGACACCAAACAAATAGAAGTTTGATTCCTTGTCATCGCAAGAGCCCCAAGGGAGGCTCATCAGTTGATAACTCTGGCTCGGCTGCACAGAGATTTCTTGGGACCCAGGCCCCTTCCGCCTCTGCTCTGCCAGGCTCAACAATGCTGCCCTGTGTTCGGTCCTGTGTTGGCTGCCTCCTGATTGCTGTTGCCACCACCCTGGACGTGAAAATCGAATGAGGACAGGAGGGGGTCCAGAGAGGACCCTGGGAGGGTAAACAGCTTGCTCTGCAAGCCGGACAACCTGAGTCTGAGCCTCAGATCCCATGGTGGAAGGAGAGAAACGAGTCTCAGAACCACGGGGTGGCATGCTTGTGTGTGTGTGTGTGTGTGTGTGTGTGTGTGTGTGTGTGTGTGTGCATGCGTGTGGCGTGTGCGTGTGCGTGTGCGTGTGCGTGTGCGTGTGCGTGTGTGTGTGTGTGTGTGTGTGTGTGTGTGTGTGCACACAAAAAGTAACCATAACTAAAATTAAAATTTAAAAAGCGTCAATAAAGGTGTTAAAGACACAAAGAGGAGAAAGGGAGTGCTGTACTAGGGCTCTCCAGGGAAACAGAACAGATAGAATTTGTGTATATTAAAAGGGGATTTATTAGAATGACTCACAGGCTGTGGTCTGGCTAGTCCAACACGGACTGTCTCCTGATGGAAAGGTCAGGAATATGGTAGTTTGTTCCATCCACGAGGCTGGATGCCTCAGCTGGTCTTCACTCTGTGTTGGAACCAGAAAGAAGTGGACTCTGATACCATCGAAGGAACGCCCCAGCAGCAGGATAGATGAGCTTGCCAGCAGAAGTGAGGGCAAGCAGACAAAAAAGCAAAAGCACCCTTCTTCCATGGCCTTTTATGTGAGCTGCTACCAGAAGATGTGGCCCAGATTTAGGGTGGGTCTTCTCACCAGCGGAAGCTAACAGGTTGGGTTAGGAGTGGCTGTTTTCTGTTGTGGGTACCCACCATCCCTCTTAAAGTGGATCAGAGATTAAATGTGGCATTCAGAGATTGGTTGGAATCTTCTTGGGCCAAAGATATAACCAGTTGCAAATCTAGTTAGTCATTTTCCGAATGTCCAACAGAGTCAATTCTTTGCATTTTTAAACTATGAGCTAAGGGAAAAACTCTTTATCCCTTAACCTTGAAGTGACTTTCCCTCGGCCCTTCGTGGTTGTGTTAGAACGGCAAGAGCTCTGCCAGGCTGAAGCCTCTGCCAACTTTGCCAGGGAACAGAGATGCCCACTCACGGCTGTGGTTGATAGGACCGCTCTTACTATTCCCCTCATTTTGACTGAGATAGCGCTGGACAGGGAGCTGGGGGACCAGCTCTATCACCTCAGTCTTCATGTTAAGCTGTGTGAACCCCAAGTGTCCCTTGTCTTCCCAGGCCTCAGTGTCCTTGTCTGTAAAATGGGAAGGTCAGACACTCTCTGAGGTCCATGGCACCTCGGCCACTTGGGCATTTCCGATTCTTCCTGAGCTTGGAGTCACAGATATAAAAATAACCTCTGTTTAGGTAAGCTAAGCCGCTGGAATACCTGTGCCACTTGGCCATGGTGCCACCTCTTTGCCAATTACCAGGTGTCACCTGGCTCCTCCTCTGTGTGCGGACACCTGGCGAGCTCTCTCAAGTGGGTGGCTGTTGAAGCTGGGCCTTCTTGATCGCTGAGGCATTTCTGCTGAGCCTGAAGCCATGTGGCTGGTCTTTCTCCTCCTGCTGTGGCTGGGCCCTGTGATCCCAAAACAAAAGACAGGTAAGGAGCTGAGCTGAGCCCTGTTCCCGAGGTCAAGGAGCCCCTGCATTTGTTCTCATCCACTCAGCCGATCACTATCATTAGTTTCTGGTGAGATATGCCAATCCCCGGATATGCCACATTCAGTCACTGGCCAGACCATCCCAGATGTAACTTCTCTGTGTGTCCACATGATGTCTCTGCGGCAAGCTTAACGTCGGGTTGGGGAGACATGGAGTCTTCAGAGGCAGCTGTGGTGTGTACAGTTTTGGTGGAGGGGGTGAGGGATCAGGAGGGATAATAAGTGTGACAAGCCCAGATCCGGATTAACAGCAGCCTGGCCCGTCAGTCATTGACTAAAATGTACCTGGAGATGCAGCAGGAAATTCAGTAAAGGCATATTTCCTAGAACTTTTTGGGAAGTAAAGTGGATGTTGTGGGTAGGCGACCTTCTTGAGCATACTTCAAACAGCATGCAAAGGGTCACGCTATTAGATGGCTTGTAAAAAAACCGTTTCTATGGGGTTGGGGATTTAGCTCAGTGGTAGAGCGCTTGCCTAGCACAAGGCCCTGGGTTCGATCCTCAGCAGTGGGGGGGGATTTCTGAGTGAGGGCGGGGCTTCAGTTCTGATGAGCATGGCCTGAGTTGGGGGTTGGAGCCAGATCGTGGGGGGCCCTGGAGGACTGGGTGGTGCTGCTCAGTACTCCCTTCCACACCCTGTAACACTCTCACTTTCTATAGAAAACTGCCAAACAGAGCCTTGCTTTGGAGGGAGCCAAGCCAGCTGCCCCTGGGTTCTTCTCATTTTCAGACAGGGTCTCACTAAGTTACCCAAGCTGGCTTGAGCTCAGTCTGTAGTCCAAGCAACCCTTGAAGGTGAGGTCCTCTTTCCCCAGGCTCCAAGTAGCTGGGATTACTTGCCATCAGTATCTGATGATACCTATGCTTGTTTTGAGACAAGGTCTCTCGATATAGCTCTGGCTGTCCCAGAACTCACTACATAGACCAGGCTTGAACTCACCGAGACCTGCCTGCCTCTGCCTTCTGAGTGCTGGAATTAAAGGCATGAGCCACCACCACCCAGTCACAATGTTTGATTTTTTTTTTTAAACTCACTCTTTTTCTCCTTTTTCCCCCTTCCTTCCTTTAAGATTTTATTTTTATCTATGTGTATGTCTTTATGTCTATGTGTGGGGATATACATGTAAGTGAGTGCAGGTGCCCACAGAGGCATGAGATCCCCCTGGATTTGGAGTTACAGTCAGTTATGAGCTGCTTGATGTGGGAGCTGGGAACCAAATTCAAATTCAAGACCTCTGGAAGAGCAATAAGTGCTCTTAACCACTGAAACATCTCTCTAGACTACCCACGTGCTCATGTGCTCCCTCCCTCCCTCCCTCCCTCTCTCTCTCCCTCTCTCTCTCTCTCTCTCTCTCTCTCTCTCTCTCTCTCTCTCTCTCTCTCTCTCTCTCGTTCCCACGTGCTCATGTGCTCCCTCCCTCCCTCCCTCCCTCTCCCTCTCTCTCTCTCTCTCTCTCTCTCTCTCTCTCTCTCTCTCTCTCTCTCTCTTCTCTCTCTCTCTCTCTCTCTCTCTCTCTCTCTCTCTCTCTCTCTCTCATTCCCATGTGGTCCAAGTTAGTCTTAAACTCAGGCTCTTCTGGCCTCAGCTTCCTGGGTACTAGGATTATAGACATGTGTCTCACGCCCAATCAACCTTTCCATGTCCCCAGTGAGCAACATTTCCAGCTCCTGAACATCGTCACAGTAATGATCTAGCTTTTTAGCAGCCCGGGGAGGCTGGGTTCATTTGTCTTTTTAGTGTATAAAGTATAGAGGTCTCGTGATGACAATTTCAAACACATTTCATTTCCGTTGATCGTCTCTTTCCCTCCCCCAGCTCCCGGTCTCCCTCCTGTGAGTCCCTTCCTCTTCTCACTGTCCCCTGCTTTCTTGTCACAGGTATTTTTCTTCCCATTCATTATTCTCTCTTTCCTCCCCTCCACCCCCATGGTACCCTTTCTCGGTTTCAAGGATAGCACACACGCACACCAGTGCACATACATAATCACTAAAATCTAGGTTCAGCACAGAGGAGAAAAAACATGGTGTCAGTCTTTCTGAGTCTGAGATTCTTCACATAGCTTAGCACTCTCCAGTTCCATCTATTCTCCCGCAAATGTTGTGGCTGCATGTTCCTCTACTGCTGCAGGAAGGCTGGGTTCGAGTGTGAGCTTGATACGCAAGAATATTTCCTTCTAATGGATTGGGAAGGGTCGGATGCCCCAAGCTGATGGCATCGCATAAAAAGCAGGTGCAGGCAGGGTGTTCAGAGGCTAGCAGACTTGGGTGGCACACACAACAAGCACCTGTGTTAGTGACACTCGTGGGTGCAAGGCTGTGGGGAAGCCAGGCAGGGGGAAGTCAGGCCAGCGCCTCTTCTCCCAGCTTTGGGCCACCGCAGGCATGGCCTTGGGTACATGCCCATCCTCCATCTATAGAATGAGAGCCTCTCGCTAGACCAGGGACTTTCAGGTTTTTCTGGGCCCAGTCCATATTTATAACCACGAGTCATCCTGTGACCTAGTTCATTCATACATGTAGTTAAGACAATCTTGAAAGCAACTTCTTCTTGTTATAGATAAGGTATGTAGGCCTATTTAATTTGATTTAATTCAGTTTGGTACCATCCCATCTCATCCTGTCCTATCCCACTAAAGTAAACATTGGTAACATTGAATTGACCTCAGATTCATAAACAAGGCCAAGCCTAATTTGGATGGCTTCTGCCAATCTTCCCTCTCCAGCTGATTCTTGGTCTTGGATGCCAGACCAGGTACTTGGGAAGAGGGGTGACATAAGAGTGGAAACAGCTCATCTGCTCCCTGAGCTGACTGTGCGGTGGAAGCCAAGGCAAGCTCAGAGGCTGCCAGCCCAGCCCCTCCTCACCTTGAGATGTCCTAGGCCACCACGTTCCTTTCATCAGACTCCTATTTTCACAACACCTTAACCGGCCTTGCATCCTTTCAAACGCCTGCTTCTGTTGAACCTGTCAACGCTGGAAGGCCTCAAGTTTATCCTTAAACAAGGCCCTAGGCAGGTGCTAAGCTAACAGGAATCATCTGAGAAGGAAAGAGAAAACAGCATTAAGATATCTGGGGCCCATTCTCGTGAACCAGACTCTCCGGGAACTTTTCCTCATCCCTCCTCCCCACCCATGCTTTGTTTTTTCCACCTCTTAAAAACGATGTGTATTTGTGGGTTACTAAACAGAAAGCCACTGAGTCCAGCAGCTTAGGGAAATGATGAGGAAAAGAGTGACCAAAACTTACTTGTGAGGACGGCATGGATATCTTCCTCTCACATCCGTTCCCTTCAAAGCTTCACAGTCTTAGGTCTGTGAGCCATCTTGAATTACCTTTTTGTATATGGCGTGAGGCAGGACCCCATTCTTTTGCATGTGCGCATCAGTTGTCCCCACACCCCTGTCTTTTTAATGTCTCTTTTCCCTCAGGCAGTTGTTCCCAGCCCCAGCCTCTCTGTTGCCCGGGGACAGATTACCACTGCAAGAGAGGAAGCTGCTACTGTGATGAATTCTGCCATGCGCTCTCAGATTGCTGCTCAGACCACAGGGCCCTCTGCAACCCCAGTGACCTGCACGCAGGCTCCCCTCCACCCATGGCACGGATGGATGCTGTAACAGGCAGAGGCAAGCCTGTCCTTGCCTGTCCTTTTGATGGTGGCGGTGATGTGGACTGGATATGTCCCTGTTAATCCTGCAGTTCTTGCAGCTATGCATTTCACGCTCAAAGCGTCTGCATATTCCTTTCAGCTTGGCTTCTCCCAGGCGCCTGTCTGCCCACTGCTCTCCTCCAAGCCCTTTTTAGGTCCCACGGGGAGAGTCTGAGCTGTTGATGGTGAGGACTAGGGTAGGGGAATGTGGTGGGCCACATCGTCTCTTGCTGTGCGCATGCCTGTTGGCCTGCTCGGAGACTTCAGAGCAGAAAGGAGCCTGCAGGGAGGTGTCTGGGACGGTGAACAGCATAGAGGTGTCCGGGACAGTGAACAGCAGGGAAGTGTTTGGGAGGCTGGTAGGCATAGATGAAGAAGCAGACCGGGGCTTTCACACTGTGTTTCAGCCGCTCACACTCCCAAGATGGTGCTGCAGTTGGTGCTGAGGATAAGGAGCCCAATGGACTCAGCCAGCAGCACTCAAGACTGGGTGCAAAGCGTGGTGAGTACCTGGGAGGGTCCTCTGCTGGGGCTGGGTGGTAACCTGCTCCGCCTCTCTGGACTTCTAGGCCCCCAAGTAGGGAAGAGGAGGGGAGGGTGGGAGAGGGGAGAGGGGGAAGGGGGAGGGGGAGGGAAAGGAAAGGAAAGGAAGGGAAGGGAAGGGAAGGGAGGGGAGGGGAGGGGAGGAGAGGAGAAGGGAAGGAAGGGGAGGGGAGAGGAGGGAAAGGGGAGGGGAGAGGAGGGAAAGGGGAGGGGAGAGGAGGGAAAGGGGAGGGGAGAGGAGGGAAAGGGGAGGGGAGGGAAGGGAAAGGGTCCTTTGAGTTAGGGCAGAGCGCCCTGTTTGAACCTCATATCATTTTCATGTGTCACAAACTTTTCCTTTTTTCTCTACCGCCATTAAAAAGTACACAAAACGGGGCTGGCGAGATGGCTCAGTGGTTAAGAGCAACTGACTGCTCTTCCAGGGGACCCGGGTTCAAGTCCCAGAACTCACAACTGTGTATAACTGAAGTTCCAGGGGGATCCAGCGGCTTCACACAGACATACATGCAGGCAAAACACCAATACACATAAAACAAAGATGAATATTAAAAAAAAAAAGAAAGAAAAATGCACGAAACAGTCTTAGCTTATAAGTAGTACAGGAACAGGCAGTGTGCCAGATTCACTGACTTGTGTTCTAAACTCTTCTCTGCCCTCCTCTTTCCTTCTGCGTCCTGGCCCCAAAGTGCTGGGCTCAGCACAGAAGGACACACCTCACCGTTATACAAGAGGATGGGGTGTGGGGGTCCTGGCTCCTGTCCTTGCTACCTGGGAGACCCGACTTGGGTCCTCTAGCTGCTGCGCCTGTTTGCTCTTCTGGGTCCTAGAGCCTGCCCGGCTGGGCAGAGGTGGCAAGTCACGGAGAGCAAGTATGGAACGGCATGGTTCTCGCTGGCACAAGAGACGGTTAGACTGTGGGACCGCGTGTGTCAGCAAGAGGGAGGACCCGCTTTGTTGCTCACGTAGGTTCTGCAGCTCCTCCACAGCAGCCTCGCCAGAAGGCCACTCTCCGTGACTGTGAAGGGAATCCGGAAGGGAGCCTGACTCCTCCTGAGGCTCCTCCTCCAGCCATGCCAGCAGGACACACGGAACCCGCCATCACCTGCAGTTGGTTGGGGCCAATGTGGCTGCCAGCCCAGGGATGTCTGTCTCTCAGCTGCCATCCTAGGAGCCCCCACCCACATTGGCTTAGCCTGGGGAAAACAGAAACCTAGAATTGTTGTAAACACATCTAAAAAACGTGCATAGCATTGGCCATTATAAAAATTACAAAACCACACTTGGCTCAGAGTGTTATTCATTGTGTTGAAATGACTACATGCATATACAATTACAATATATATGTGTGGTGTGTGTGTGTGTGTGTGTATATATATATATATATATATATATATATATATATATATTGAAATGATGATAAATGGCACTGGTTACCTCGCTAAAAGGCCTGGTAGCAGAGCGCTTTATTAGGAAGAAACGGGGTGGGGGTGGGGTGGGGAGGTGTGGGGGGGTGTGGAGGTGTGAGGGTCGGGGGGGGGGGGGTAGGGGGGTGGAGGAAGAACCAGGCCTGGGAAAGAGCACGTGTAGAGGTCAGAGAGAAAGATGGGGATAGGGAGAGAGCAGAGCAGAGAGAGAGGGTGGGGTCTGTGTCTGGCTTTTTAAGGGCTCCTGGTGAAGTGGGCTTATGGAGCTACACCACGCGTATGCTGATTGCGTGACCACACCACTCGCATGTAGTTGCCAGCGCACACTGATGATGTGAGACGCAAGACTCTTTGCTTAACTCCTGAACTGCGCGTGTGCGGTCATGTAGCTGGAGTAAGGGCAGAATTCCAACATATATATAGTACAATATAACAATGACTTGAAAGTAGAAAAATCAGGGAGCTGGGGGTGTCGCTCAGTTGAGAGAGTGTTTGCCTAGCATGTGCAAAGCCCCGCGGACAGTGCTCAGCACCCCAGAAATCAGGCATGGTGGCACACACCCATTATCCTAGCACTAGAGATGGAGGAGGTAGAAGCAGGTAGATCAGATGTTCAAGGTTATCCTTGGCTAGAAAATGAGTATAGGGCCAGCCTAGGCTACACTTATGTACACCCATCTTAAAAAAAAAAAAAAGCAGGAAATAAGAACCCAAACCAATAACCTTCAGTTAAGTAACCCACCCTCTCTCCCTCATGCTCTTTCCTGGGCCACTCAACCTTCCGGATCTCAGCCACAGGGTCATCTTTTGCTTCTCTCTGCCAAGGGCCTTCTTCACATCGTCCCATCCTTCCTATTCTAGTCCCGTGGCTACCGTCTAAGGTCGGCGGCTCCTTCCCAGTGCTCTTCTGGCCAGATTGCGTCACCAAAGCTCTGGTGTGTGGCCAGTTTCCTGTTCAGAGGCCATCCGTGGGTTTCCATCCTCTACACGACAATGGCGAAAGTCCTGGGCCTGGCCTGCCACAACCCAGCTCAGCACACAGTTCCAGCTTTATCCCTTGCTAATCCCCTTCACCGCTCTGGGTTGCAGCGGAACAGAATCAATCACCCATTCTCCCCGCCCACACCTCGCTCTAGGCCTCTGCTAAGCTGAACACGGTTTCTGGGCATCTGATTGCAGCCAGGATCCCTGTTGGCACAGAGCCCAGCTCTTGGCTAATGGTTTTGTGTTGGCTTGATTTCTCCGAGTGCTTTATTTAGGAACATAACCCCAAGGGTTAGGGTAAGGAAAGTGAAACAGGGGTGAAGGGAGGGCCAGGACAAAGACCTGCCCTCCAGTCTACTCTACTAACTCTAGTTACTTCACCTGTGGGATCTTCTAAGAGGCCTTGGGAAACCTGTCTGAAAGGCATCTATCCGGTGACAGATCAGTATGCCTGTCCCCTTTCCCATGGGTTACAGGTTGGCCTATGGAGTCCTGGAAATATACATTCAAAACATGCAATAAATAACAACTTTACGCGGACTAGTGAAAAACTGGAATCAACCCAAACCCAAACATCCATCAAGAAGAAAATGGCCAGAGACATTGTGCTGGACTATTACCATGGAGAACCGCCCACCATCCAAAGGACAAAGCGTTGCAATACACGAGAGCTCCCATGAGCCTTGCAGACACAACGTTAAATAGAAGAAGCCAAATACTGAAAAGTGTGTGCACGGTCCCATTTACATGTGGTTCAGAACCAGGACTCATCTATGGTGACAGGGGCAGGCAAATGCTTACACCTGGCAGGAGAATACTGATGGAAGAGGCTGTATGTTATTATTTTGTGTGGATTTGGCGATGGAGCCAAAGGCCTCATGCACGCTAGGCAAGCTCCCTGCCACTGAGCTGTATGCTCAACTCAGTTTTCAACGTTTACTTTAAGGCAAGATCTTACTAAGTTTCTCAGGCAGGTATTTAACTCACGCTAGTCCAGACCAATCTTGAACTGGCAATCCTCATGTGTCAGCTTCCAGAGATGTTCCTTGCACACTGTCTGTCCTTGCGCAACATGCAGAACTTGTGGAATCCTCTCAGAACCCCACAGATGGCATGACGAAGATGTGTGTGTAGATGCGTGTGCACGTGTATGTACATTCATTTGGAGGCCAGAGGACAATCTCAGGTGGCGTCTTCAGGGACATCGTCTACTTCCTTTGAGGATCTCTCATTGGCCTGGAGCTCACCAATTAGGCTAGCCTGGCTGTCCAGTCAGTTCCAAGGATCCTTCTGTCTTTGTCTCCTCAGCTCTGGGATTGCAAGCACATACCACCACACCTGCCATTTTCTTGTGGGTCCTGGGGATCAGGCTTCAGCGCTCCTCATCTTGGAGACAAGTATTCCACCCACCAAACCATCTCCCTAGTCCTGCACGAAGGTTTTTTTTTTTTAAGTGAAAATATTGGGGGTCGGACAATATCATATCCTAATTTCCCTGCTTAAAACAGAGCCCCTTAAAAAATACAGGGCTAGCACAATTTCCTGCTAATCTGTCTGCCTTGGAGACAGACTGTCCATCCCGTGAGCATAACAAAGCTCACAGCTGCTTTCACCATTTTCCCATTGCAGCCCAAAGCTCCGTGCCCTTTGCTAAGGTTGGTGTGTAAACATTTTGCTCTGGCTGTTCAGGGAGCTGCTTATAATGAGCACACCCAAGTGCACTTGTAATTAAAGTCTGACCCTTTCTTAGGTGATATGCAAGCCCCAACTCCGAGACCCAAGTTGGGAGAAGGAGAAGGTATCTGCACAAGAAACCCAGACCAACTCAGCTGTGGCCTGTGGAGCTAAGGGTCAGCTCCATGTCTGGCACATAGACAGCTTTGTATTTCCAGGACATTTTATGCTGAGTCAGTTAGGCCCTTGTCCCAAATCAGAATCACCCCCACAATATGCCCTGGTTTTGTGGGGGGGGGGGTGTACAGAGGATAGGGGAGCAGAACCTAAGTGGTGCTGATGGCTCTGGATCCTTCCTGATGTCCTGGATGAGTCTGCACTGGTCCCTGACTCCACCCTGGCATCTCACAGCGATCGAGTTGGATTGATCTCGGGTGCTACTTTCAAAACACGTCACTAATCAGAGAGCTTTCACAGGCCTTCCCTTCCCCAGCATCCCACGGCAGGCCTACGCTGGGGCAAAAGCCACCTAACTCCTAGTCTTCACGCTGTTCTCAGCCCAGCTGCCAGGGTTCCCACTGCCTGCCCTTCTAAAACCCGAGTTCGGACCCATCACTCTGCTCAGAGCTCTCCAGGGACACCTTCCAGCTCTCTTGCTTGCCAAGTTAAAAGTGACAGGGTGCCATTGTCTTAGACAAGGTTCCCGAGCGAGGCCGGCAGACCAAATGAAGTCACGTTAGTTTCACATCCCTGAAACTACGTTATCTGAACTTAGAAATCAGAAGAGGTCAATTGCCCGCTTTTGAGAACAGGTGAGGAAATTCTTTCTGTTTAACTCTTACCAAAAAACCAAACCAAACAAAGAAAAAGAGGCCTGATATTAGCCAGTAATTAATTCATTGTTTATTTCCCTGTTCACACCTTACCAAGAAAGTAGCTTTGAAGTCACCAAGTCTCTATTTGTTTTCCTTTTTCCTTTTTCTTGCAGTGCTGGGGGTGAACCCCATCAAGCCCCTGTCCCCCCACTTTTTTGTTCTCATCTGTTCTTTATTGCTCTTTGTCAGCTCAGCTCACCAGAAGGAAAGCTCATTCTGTTTTGTGGGACGAAGCCACTGAAACTCTGTTGTAATTTGTGTTTTGATAGAGGAAAGCCTCGGCCAGCCCGGAGATCCCCATCACCCTCCCCGGCCGTTCTGCCGTCCCCACGGCCACGTCGTCAACTCCCGTGACTCCAGTGGCTCTTCGGTGCCCACAAACCTTCCCGCTTTGACCTTTCTCTACCTGTTCCTACCGCCTCTCCTCACTTGTTCTTCAGTACTGCAACCTGCATGTGCGCACGCGCACACACACACACACACACACACACACACACACACACACACACACATCCCGCGTACACCCCGGTGCTCTCCATTGCTCACAAATCCACCTATTGTGGCAGCGTTTGCTGCTTACCCTCTTCAGGAGTTAGCTCCCGAGGGCAGGCTCTGTCTGTTTTCCCCTATGATAATGTTATCTCAAGAGCGGAGAACAATGTCTGGCATCTGGAAGCATCTGCTCGCTAATGTCGTGACACTTGTGCCCACTCAGGGTGAGCGCTGAGCTGGGCTGCAGAGATGGTCCAAGAACTTTCTAGTGAAGTTTGTGATGGCCCTCGGAGGCACCAGCCATCAGCCCAGGCTTGGAAGTGACCCTGGATACAGAAGAAACTGAAGATCTTCTTAGGGGTTTGTTTGCTTGTTTTCTCTTTATGCACAAGTATGTAGAGCTGTTGATGGTTTCAAGTGAAAAGGAAACGGAGTGGGGGAATTCCTTGTTGGGGTGAAAAATCTACTTGTCAGTAGATTAAGCTCAGAGGCAGGGAGGGACCTACCTGCCCCTGGAATGAGGAAGCCCCTGGCCCAGCAGGGGTGCGGCAGGAGAGGGGAGGAGTGTCTTACTGCTGTGTTCCCTCCATCGACTTGATGGGAGAGTTTCACAAGGGGTCATGGCTAAGGAGAGTTTCACACGGGGTCATGGCGACTGGGCGAGGTCTCCGGAAGTCCAGGTCGCTACAGCGACCCGCTCCTCTCTCCGCCTGTTCAAAGGGTGGAGAGCTGAGTTGGAGTGGGGAAATGGAAGAGGCTCCACCGACGCACCGTGTTCCTGGGACTGGTCCCAAGACGCTCAACTCCAAGTGGCAAGTTGCTCCACACAGACGCCATCAGCCCCTTCTGAAGAGGCTAACATATCCCAAGATGACAACCCTTCCTCCTAGGTCTCACAGTCTGTCACCTCAGTATGGAGTACAGTTCTAGATGACAGTGTCCCATATCCAGCAGCAAATCCTGGACTGCCAGGCCGAAGAGCCCTCAGAGCTCTTCTTGACTAAGGCCCAGAGTGGGCAAGCTCCTTGTCTAAGATCGCACAGTTTCTGACCCACCATGAAGGGCAGAGCTGGAAACAGGACAGATATTTTGATACAGCTTTAAACTTCTTCCTAGTTCCTACTTTTGTGATTCTGTGACACCCACCACGTCTGCTCCGTCACAGGCTACTTTCATCCAAAAGCACTTACTTAAAATTCCCAAGGAACCTTGTTTGGCCACAGGTTCTGTTTCAGGGGAGGCACATTGGAAATTACAGTCTGTAACTCCACTCCTAAGTGTCCCTACTCAGCTCTCTCACGTTGGCACCCCTCCCCAGGCCCTTGGACTCAGAGGAGCATGGCACCCTCCACGTCCTGGCACCTGAAGCCTGGCTAGGGACACAGGTCCTGGCTTTGACGTGGCTACAAAATCTCAGGATGTTGAAAATAGATATTAGAAGTGAGAGTCCTGCCCCCACACTGGAACATTGTCCCCTTGAGACCCCAGAAACACTCACATCTACTGGTCGGGGATGGGGGTTCCCACTTATATCTTGAGCACCTGAGATGTATGTATGTTCTATGAGCACCAACCAAGTACAGGAAAGACTCTAAGAACTTCAATAGCCTCCTGAGTCAGACAGCATGCCCATTTTACAGATGAAAAAAGTTGAGGCTCAGAAAGGTTCTCTCATTTGCTCTTGATCCCTAGAACTAATAAAATCTAGGCCCAGCAGAAAAACTCAGGTCCTATCCATGAAACCCAGACCCCAGGTAAGGATGAGTGGGGTAAACATCATCTCTCCCACGCCCTTCCCAGTTTTAGGGGAGGATATCAGAACAGAAATGAGGCTGTATTTTCAAATCAGAGAGGCAAGGCTGCCAGGCAAGGGGGCGGGGGAGGAAGCAAGCCTGTGTCAGCCCTCACTGCGCGTCTGTGTTCACCTGGCTGCATTCTGGAACCTACCGGGTCACACCTGAGCAGGCGGCTGCCCCTCCTCCCTGGGTTGAGGAAGCAGGAAAGGGTGGTGAGGAGAGGCAGCAGGCAGGTCTGCCAGGCAGCGGTGGTCAGTGCCCAGGCAGGATGGGCTTTGTCTGGGTCCTAGCTGTGCCTCTCCTTTTCTCCTGCTGGAAGGCTGGAGTCACTGCCAGCTCTGCAGGTAAGGGACAGGACGGGAGGTGGGAGTCTTCCCTGGCAGGGCTCTGGGGGTGAGTTTTGGCAAAGACAGCCCTTTGTGGGTAAGGGGAGGCATTTTTGTTCATTGTAATTAAAGGCCTGCTGAATGTAAAATAACGATGGCTGTGGACGAGTGTGCAGGATGACAGATGTGTTAAGCATGGTGACACCGTGGCCATCAATGTAAGAGAGTCTGGGAGTTAGTCTTCAGGCACGGGACGGTGGGGTGGGAGGGTAGAGGGGTCAGGGAGATGCCAGCTGGTGATAATTTTGCTGTGAACTGAAAAATACGGCCTAGAGAAGCTCCTGTTCATCCAAGGTTGTGTCCTAGCCCAGTTATTCTTTGAAATTTGCCTTTTGAATAAAAAGTTTGTCACAAACTGCTTGGACAAGGAGATTCTGAGAGAGGTGGGCTTTTCTGAAAGATGGGAGCTAACACGGACCTGTCACTGACAGGCACTGTACCAAACTCATCACACACACTTTTTATTTTTTCACACACACTTTAAAATAGATGTTTTCGGGCTGGAGAGATGGCTCAGAGATTAAGAGCACTGACTGCCCGTCCAGAGGTCCTGAGTTCAATTCCCCGAACCCACATAGTGGCTCATAACCATCTGTAATGAGATCTGGCACCCTCTTCTGTATACATAATAAATAAATAATTCTTTTAAAAAAAATAAACGTTTTCCAGAGCAAGCAAGACTGAGCAGAGGGTACGGAGACATCTCATCTACCCTGTCCCTGCCACTTATGGTTCCCTGCTGTGCATGTCCCCACAGCATCAGCACTGTTACAGTGGTGACCCACACTGACACGTCACACTAGACAGGACCTTTTAATTCTACTTATTTATTTATTGGCCGGGTCTCCCTATGCAGGGCCCTGGCTGCCTGGAACTTGCCATATAGACTTTATATTTATTTATTTACTTATTTTCCCTTTTCTCTGTGTGTGAGAGCGAATGTTTTTACATAAGTATGGATTCACATGTGTGTGTGGCTGTGTGTGAACATTGTGTGCATTGTGTGTGGAGGCCCGAGGCTGACTTTTGGGAATCATCCTTGAAGGCTCTTTCATCTTATTTCTTGAGACAGGGACTTTCAATCAAACCCAGAGCTCATCGATATAGTGAGGGAGAGAGGGAGAGAGGGAGAGAGGGAGAGAGGGAGAGAGAGAGAGAGAGAGAGAGAGAGAGAGAGAGAGAGAGAGAGAGAGAGAGAGAACCTGATACATGTGGAGGTCAGATGAGAGTGTGGGGATTAAGCGCAGGTCATCAAGCTTGGTGGCAAGCACCTCTACCCACTTGAGCTATCCGGCTGGTCCAACATTACTTTTTAAATTCTCATGACTCTAATGACTGAGAATTCACCTCTAAGACACTGCCACCCATTTAAGAGCAAGGAGCCTGCAGTTTATATGGAGTAATTTATCCCCGGAGTCACCATGCCCTGCCAGTGCCTAACCCCTGGACCACCCTGCCTGCCGCACACACTCACAATTGGCCAGGCTTTTGCTGCATTTTTCACTCCGTTTAATTGCAACCTTACAGCCTCATGAACCAGGTGCCCCTCACTCCATTTGGAGCCCAGAGACTTGGCCTGTGTCACAGCACAACAAGGAGCAGAGATGGGACTCACATCTGGCTCTATGCCCACAGTCTCCTCACCCCCACTTTGGAGGTATGGAGGAGGACTGCAGCACCATCCTATGACCCGGACTGGGTTCTGTGGACCAGGAGGCCCAGAGAAATAGCTCGGGCCGGGGAGTCGGGGAGGTCTGTGAAGAAGGCCATCAGCAGCTCCCACAGATATGTGCGGGCATGCTGTTGGGTTGACTGAGTGAGCACAGAGAGGATATGTGTGCAAGCATGCCCAGCTAATCACTCTCCTTACCCAAGTGAGCTGTCCACAGCTCCCTGACTGCTTGCTTTCCTAGGACACGTTAAATTCAGACTGAGGGTTCCTCTCCCTTATCTTACCAGTTACCTCTAAAGATGAGACTGTAAGTCATTCTTGAATTTTAAGGAAATACATCCATGGGAAAATATTTTTGCGGTGACCGAACTGCCCATGGAGGGGTGACAAAGTTCCTACAGAAAGCTCTGGAAGTCTTCATTCCTGTTCTGCAGTCCTTGGCTCATGTGGATTTGTGTCTCCTATGTCCACCCTTGATGGTACAGTGCTGTACTGCATACCAATGATCAGCTGGGTTCTGGGGCTGCCTGGCTATTGCAGTCTTTAAGAGATCCTGCTCCAAGACCACACTCAGGGTATGCAAAAAAAAAAAAAAAAAAAAAGAAAAAAAAGCCGGGCGGTGGTGGCGCACGCCTTTAATCCCAGCACTCGGGAGGCAGAGCCAGGCGGATCTCTGTGAGTTCGAGGCCAGCCTGGTCTCCAAAGCGAGTTCCAGGAAAGGCGCAAAGCTACACAGAGAAACCCTGTCTCGAAAAAAAAAAAAAAAAAAAAAAAAAAAAAAAAAAAATCCACGAATGTGGCGAGGGCTAAAATTTTTCTATCTGAGGGGAATTAGGAAAGAAACACACACACACATTCTGATGGTAACTTTCTCTTCTACTTCATCTTGAAAAATCTCTTCCTGAAAATCTCTCTGTCTCCACACAGCTACATCTCTTTATACAGCTACATCTCTGCACACAGCTACATATCTCTTCTACACAGCTACACATCTCCCTTCTACACATCTCTCTCACAGAAAAAAAAAAAACTCTGGACAATATATGAGTTACATTTTGAGGGTCAGAGCCATTTTGATAACACGAGAAGTCACATGGTTTCTCTCAGGCTAGGGATGTCCCACTGACTGGCCAGTGAGTGAGTAACCATGGCAACACTGGGCTGTCAACCAGGCTCCCTGTAAATTGAAGGTGGTAGGCACATAGTGTCCAGTGCTCAGTGTTTCCTGATGGAGAGTGACATTGAAATTCATTTGAAATTCAAGACTTAAACAACAAACAGTTAGTTGGCTGAACCTTGAGTTCTGCATCGTAAAACTAATGTTGGGGTTCATGCAAAGAGTCAGTTGCTGAGAGGGTCTGTACAGGGAGTTATGTCTTTAATGTCGTCAGTCAGACTTCTGCAAGAGAAGAGCTGGCACTAAAGTTGCTTCATGCCTGACCTTGGTTCAACAGACTCCTGGGGATCTGTCCTTGTGCAATTCATTTGCAGGGGCAACTAGTCTGCTTTGAATTTGTTTTAAGGTCTTAAATCAACTAATGGTGTAAGAAGCTGTCTTTGCACCTGAGAATACTGTTATTTTCCTATGTCAGTCTGAGCTATGATAAATATCCTAGTATTATTCCTATTCATCAAAATTACGCAGTTTAAGAAGAGATCATCTTCCTGACCATCTACAGATATATGTGTGCCCAGTAGATGGAATATATACATGAGATAAACACACAGGCAGTGAGGAAAATAACCATAGCTGTTTTTAGGGAAGAAATGTAGTGGCACATGAGAAAAAATTACAGACAAAAACAAAAACAACTAGTTTTCAGAGTCTGTGGTCCCGGAAGCCTTGTTTGATGAGGTTTCTCCATCACAGAGTTATTCATCTGGTGGGTCGACACCTGAATTATTAATTATCATCTGTTTTATTTATGTCATGACCCATGACACCTGGCCTCAAGGGGATTATCAGGTGTAGACGAATCTTAAAAGGTCTTATTAATAAAAAACAAACCGGAGCCAGGTATTGGGGTGAATGCTGAAAGATCAGAGAAACAGAACAAGCCACATCCAACCTCACCTTGCCAATTCCTCAGCTGATCTTGTTTCCTCAGACTGAAGCCTCTGAGTCCTCATTTGAATGGATCTCAGCTGAACTGCTGCTAAAAGCTAAAAGTTTATAAAGGGTCTAGTTCCTGGTCCTCACGCCTTATATACCTTTCTGCTTCCTGCCATCACTTCCTGGGATTAAAGGCATGTGTCACCATGCCTGGCTGTTCCCAGTGTGGCTTTGAACTCACAGAGATCCAGATGGATCTCTGCCTCTGGAATGCTAGGATTAAAGGTGTGTGTGTGTGTGTGTGTGTGTGTGTGTGTGTGTGTGTGTGTGTGTATGTGTGTGCCAGCCACCATTTTCTGGCCTCTGTGTCTATCTAGTGGCTGTTCTGTTTTCTGACCCCAGATAAGTTTATTAGAGTGCACAATATATTGGGGGACACAATATCACCACAATCAGGATTTCAGAGGGCACTGGTCAGGGCAGCCTGTCTTCAGAGCTGCTATGAAGGTCATGGCTTTTCCGAGTTGCTTTTTTCATCTTTGTTTACATAGACAATGACCCTCTGTGCCATCCAGTAGCACCCAGGGCATAAATCCAAATGCTCATGTGAAGTCAGCCTATCGGGACTCACCAAGCTGTTCTCACCCAACACAGGCCTGAGCAGCGGCAGTTCAGCCCCTTTGATGACAACCAACAACACGGAAGTGCCTGCCTTTACTCAAAGGGACAGGCCCAGCTCAGAGGGGGCTTTCCAGACCACTCACCTGACTCAGGATGTTCCTCTAGACGCTTTAACTCTGAGCACTGAAACTGCTTCTAGTACCTTAACTGCAACCAGTACCAGTTCAGAAGTCAATTCCAGGGACACCCAGACCATCTCTCCTGTAACAGAGACTGGGAAGACACAGACTACCTCCCTTACAGCATCAACCCTGGATATTCAGACCACCTCCCCTGCAACATCAACCCTAGATATTCACACCACCTCCCCTACAGCATCAACCCTGGATATTCACACCACCTCCCCTACAGCATCAACCCTGGATATTCACACCACCTCCCCTGCAATATCAACCCTAGATATTCAGACCACCTCCCCTACAGCATCAACCCTGGATATCACACCACCTCTCCTGCAATATCAACCCTAGATATTCAGACCACCTCCCCTACAGCATCAACCCTGTATATTCAGACCACCTCCCCTACATCATCAACCCTGGATATTCACACCACCTCCCCTACATCATCAACCCTAGATATTCAGACCACCTCCCCTACAGCATCAACCCTAGATATTCAGACCACCTCCTCTACAGCATCAACCCTAGATATTCAGACCACCTCCTCTACAGCATCAACCCTAGATATTCAGACCACCTCCCCTACAGCATCAACCCTGTATATTCAGACCACCTCCCCTACATCACCAACCCTAAATATTCAGACCACCTCCCCTGTAGCATCAACCCTGGAGACCCAGACCTCTTCCCCTGCAGCATCAACCCTGGAGACCCAGACTTCTTCCCTCTTAGCATTTACCATAGATACACAGGCCACTTCTCCTGCAGCATCAACCCTAAATACTCAGACCACCTCCCCTGCAACATCCACCCTGGATACCCAGACCACTTTCCCTGCAACAGAGGCCCTAGAGAACCAGACTATTTTCCCTATTGATTTGACCCTAAAAACCCAGACCGTTTCCTCTGTAACAGAGACCAGAACTCTTGCAATAAGAGTACCTTCCAACTTCATGGTCATGCATCCCATCCCTACGGACACTTCGGCTACACAGGGCAGCCCCAGAACTGGAATGAGCACTGTCAAGACTGGCACACTGAGTGGTCCCATAGGAGCCATCATTGGCACCCTTTGTATTGATGACAGCTCGGAAGAGGCGAGGAAGATCACAATTGACCTCTTAACCTTGGCACATACCTCCACAGAAGCTGAACACCTGTCCTCAGACAGCAGCTCCTCCTCAGACAGCTCAGCTGGCGTCCTCACCAGCTCACAGGTCCTGGGATCCGATATTGCAACTCCAGCCAAGGACTTGGTTGCCTTCAGCATCACCCAGATTAAGCTCACCACCTGCATCACAGAAATAGAAACATCTGTCGTCACCTCAGACACTAACAACGGCCCTACGGGAGCGACAGCCTTGTCCACTTCTGAGACGCTCACTTTGCCTCAATCCCCCGAGGCAAAACCACTTAGCCCCAAGACCACAAGCTCACCCGGGACCCCATCAACAGCTGGCACCTCAACCCTTGCCACCACCCTTGAGGGCACGCCCCCTATTAGTGGCGTCACAGAAAGAGAATCAACAGTGGCTCAGGCTCCTACCTCCAGAGTCACTTCAGGGACAGTCAGTACGAACCCACTGAAAGAGACCTCAGCACTCTCGACAGTGACACAATGGCACCCTGAGGTCTCGGGAACAACTACCGTCTCCAGGGCTACTGGGTCAACGACGGGACAAGCAACCTCCTTCACTAGCTCCTCAACTTCAGACAACAGTCCCTCAGCAGGGGTCACCACCAAGAGCTCTACTACCTCAGAGACTTTAACCAGCAGCTCCTTAGCCAAGACCACGGCCTCACCAAAGACCTCAATGGAGCCCCTAACATCTACACCCACTGCTGCTTGGACAAGGACCACAAAACACGAACCAGGTGAGTGAACCTTTCATGTGTGATCTTTGCAGATTTAGGTTTGGAGTATTTGTAAGGAGTCAGGAGGAAGGAAGGAGCTCAAGGCTGGTGTTGCGCCCTCTCCCTGCCAGTCACATCTCCTGGTGGGTTGGTAACAGGCAGTTAAGATGTGTATGTGATGTAGTGATGTGTGTGTGTGATGCAGTGATGTGTGTGATATAATATGTGTGTGTGTGATGTGGTGATGTGTGTGTGATGTAGTGATGTGTATGTGATGTGGTGATATGTATGTGATGTAATGATGTGTGTGTGATGGAGTGATGTGTATGTGATGTAGTGATGTGTATGTGATGTAGTGATATGTATGATGTAGTGATGTGTATGTGATGTAGTGATATGTATGATGTAGTGATGAGTATGTGATGTAGTGATGTGTATGTGATGTAGTGATGTGTATGTGATGTAGTGATGAGTATGTGATGTAGTGATGTGTATGATGTAGTGATGTGTATGTGATGTAGTGATGTGTATGTGATGTAGTGATGAGTATGTGATGTAGTGATGTGTATGTGATGTAGTGATATGTATGATGTAGTGATGTGTATGTGATGTAGTGATGTGTATGTGATGTAGTGATGAGTATGTGATGTAGTGTTGTATATGTGATAAGTGTGAAGCAGGGTTTTTGAGAAGTGGTTGAGATCTTGGCTCTGTTTTAACCTGAGAGATCTTGAACCTGTCCCCATCCTCCGAGCCTAAGTTTCTTCCCCTTGGCTGGGGGAAGGGGCTGCATGGTCACCATCTGGATGAGCACCATCTTTTCCAGATCTAACTTAGTTAACTATTGAGCAACTACTGTGCTTCAGGTGAGATCTGAAATGTTACTGAAAACACTTGGCCCTTAAGCCAGCCATGCCCACAGAAGAGAAGAACATGGACAAGCAACTTGTCCAAATTGCTGCCACGTGAGCATGCGGAGGGCACGAAGTGGGGCTTGTTCTGCACCGTAAAGAGCGACTGTAGGCAAACCAGCAAAACAACATTTGGGGAGTTTAGGTCTTAATTTCTGAGCCAACAGAAGCCTCTCAGGGGACCCACTGTCAGCGGCTCTGTGGTAAGAACAGCTTGTGGGCAGCCCGGAGCATCTGCCTCTGCTGCTTGTTCTGTCCTTCTGGTCCATTCCTGAGTATTTTGTCTGGTCCCACCTGCTGGGGCAGGGGAAATAAAAATACTAACCATGAGGTGAGGATACAGCTCAGTGATAGAGCACTCGACACTGGTGAGTGTGCCCGAGACCCTACATTCGACCCCAAGCCCTGAAAAATCCCAGCCTCTGTCATCTCTGTGTCTCTCTGTCTCCTCCATCTGTGTACATCTGTCGTCTCCACCTCCATCTTGGTCTCGGTCTGTGTCTCTTACCTCTGTCTCTGCCTTCTCTATCTCTTTCTGTGTCCATCTCTACCAGTATCATCTTTTATCTTGATCTCTACCATCTCTCTATCTCTTTATCATCTCTGTCAACTATCTCTATCTATCATCTATGTTCAGGCATGATATCACAGGCCTGCAACCCAGTACTCAGGAAGGAGAAACAAAAGGACTGTGAGTTTGAAGCCAGCTTGATCTACATAGTAAGACCCTCTGGGGAAAAAAAAACCAGAACCAACCCAAAACAAAAATTAAAACAGAAAAATATTTAGCCACAACCAAGTTATTGAATATCTTTTATATTCTAGGCAAAAATAATATAAAAACACTTCACAATCAACAGGCAGAACCCAAAAATGGACTCACCAGATATTCTATCTCTGTTGCTGTGATGACCACCATGACCAAAATCAACTTGGGCAGGAGAGGGTTTATTTGCCCACAGGCCAATCTGATGGAGGCAATTCCTCAGTGGGATTCCCTCTTCCCAGGAGTGTGTAGGTCTGTGTCAAGTTGACGAAAGCTGCTGTAACCCCAGAGGAAGGTGAATGAGTCTACTTGGCACAGGGGTAGACACCACTGATTGGATAGTTGTTGTCATGAGCTCAGTAAATGTGCAAAATAATTTTTTTTAACCCAAGAATGGAGTAGCTACAGATCCACCAAAGAAATGTCTAGGAATTCCAGAGGCAGTTTACATTGGCAAGTTTGAATTGCGTTCTGCCCAATGCTATCTTCAAGATCCATTTTCAGAACATTCCCTCCCCCCACCCCCAGTCCTAAAGAATATTTGGGGTAGGTAGTGTTACCACAGACAACCATCTTTTTCCTTTTCATAGGTTCATGCCCATAGTTAATCTCAAAACTTGCCTCAGTGGGCTTTTCCTTGGAGGCTGATGGCATGCTTCCCAATCTGATAACCAAAAGTGAAGTCACACACATGGGGTGGTCCCCAGGTGAAGTCACACACATGGTATGGTCCCCAGGTGAAGTCACACACATGGGCTGGTTCCCATGTGAAGTCACACACATGAAGTAGTCCCCAGATAAAGTCACATACATGGTATGGTCCCCATGTGAAGCCACACACATGAGGTGGTCCCCAGATAAAGTCACATACATGGTATGGTCCCCAGGTGAAGTCACACACATGAGGTGGTCCCCAGATAAAGTCACACACATGGTATGGTCCCCAGGTGAAGTCACACACATGAGGTGGTCCCCAGATAAAGTCACACACATAGTATGGTCCCCAGGTGAAGTCACACACATGGGGTGGTCCCCAAGTGAAGTCACACACATGGGTTGGTCTCCAAGTGAAGTTACACATGTGGACTGGTCCCCAAGTGAAGTTACACATGTGGACTGGTTCCCAAGTGAAGTTACACACATGGAGTAGTCCCCAGATGAAGTCATCACACGGGCTGGGATCCAGGAACCATTCTCAGGTTACCAGCCTTGCTCTGCACGCCCCTTTACCCATTGAACCACCTCAAAAAACTCAGAGGAGAGTTCTGAGCACACATCTCAAGGAAATTTACTCTACTTGAATTCCAAATCTATAACCTCACGGACCATCCTTTTCTTTGGTCCAACCATCAGGCACAAAAATAGTCAATGCCAGGTCAGGGGGTCTAGGGAAGGTTCTCTAGAGCAACAAACGGCCCCGTAGGCTGCTGGGACTGACCTGGGAATCCTAGGACTGGCTAGCTGTCAACAAGATTTTTTTTTTTCTCAAGAAACATAAAGCAATGTTTATTTCTATTCGCCTCAGACAGTGAGGGCTTTTGTAGATTCTATCCAGTCCAGCCTGGTAAAACAACATGCTCATTGGTGTTATCTACAGGAGCCTGGATGGCTCAGAGGCAGTCACACCACCAAAGAGTCCCACCTCTTATATAACCTTGGTGAGCCTCTCCAATCCTCGCATGAGGGAATGTTTATAGACCTGGTTTGGTAAGGGTCGTCTACTAGTGGTCACAGTTGCTATGGTTTAAGACATCTGTTATCATGCTTAACCCAGAGGAAACAGATACACAGCATTAACTGTGAGCTAAAAGCCGGGAGGCCCACCTACCTTTGTTTCTACCATCCCAAAAGGGGAATGACTTAGGGGCAAGTTGTTGGGGCAAGAAAAAAGATTCATCTGGAAAACCAGAGAATAAAGAGCACCTCGGGTATCTGAAGGGTTTAAGGAGGAGAGGAAGGAGCAGGGCATAAGGAAAAAAAGACAGGATTCCAGAGACTGCTAGAAGCTAAGCCAGTGGCCTATTATCTTAGTCACTCTTACATGAGGTAAATTTAAGAGAAATCGACTTTGTATTACAGTTTCACGTGAAGCGGTTCTCAAATGGTTAATATCAAGAGTTTAAAGTTGAACAGAAATCTGACCCAAAGCTTAAGGGGGCAAAGGAGACAGACAATGTGCAGAGTCAGAGATGTCAAGCATTTCATCTTGTTTTAGCGGCTCACCAGACCTCTGCAGATCCAAGCAGAGCCAGTGCTTTTAGCAAAAAGCTGAGCCTGGAGAGGTGGCACACTCAGCTGGTGTTACGAAACCCAAGTTGGAGGCATTGTCTACGGTGACTTAGTGAGGGACTAAGGAGACATTGCTCTGCTTCATGATCTCCAAAATTAGTGACTTTAGAAGTCAGCTGAAGTAAATGAAGGCTAATTTGTTTCCTTAAGATAAAAGATAGAGCCGGGCGGTGGTGGCGCACGCCTTTAATCCCAGCACTCGGGAGGCAGAGCCAGGCGGATCTCTGTGAGTTCGAGGCCAGCCTGGGCTACCAAGTGAGTTCCAGGAAAGGCGCAAAGCTACACAGAGAAACCCTGTCTCGAAAAACCAAAAAAAAAAAAAAAAAAAGATAAAAGATAGAACTTGCCAGGAGGTGGCGGCAGCGGTGCATGCCCAGCAGTACTCGGGAGGCAGAGGCAGGTGGATCTCTGAGCCCAAAGCCAGCCTGGTCTACAGAGTGAGTTCCAGGACAGCCAGGAGAGTTGCACAGTGAAACCCTGTCTCAAATAAAATAAAATAAAAATTAAAAAAACAGAACTTTCGGATAGAGCTGCTAAGGCAGAGAGGCTTAGCTAGGAGACCTCCTCACTATCAACCCAGAGCTGGAGGAACTGGCTCAGGGCAGCCTCTCTCCAGCGCTCTTCCTGGCCAGGGTCTTCTCCAACAGACTCATCCAGGGTCCGAGGACACTGCAGTAGGCATAATTATTCCAAGAAGGGAGTCCTTATTTCTGTCTGCGCTGAGCAAATGTTAGCCCCATGTAGATGCACACACATTTATAAGCGGGAATGTAGGTGGCTCACGCCTTTAATCCTAGCATTCCGGAGGTAGGTGAATCTCTGTAAGTTTGAGGCCAGCCTGACCTACGAAGTGAGTTCCAGGACAGCCAGAGCTGTTACATAGAGAAACCCTGTCTCAAACAAACAAACAAACAAAAACCAAGCAGGCATGTAGGCACGTACGGACAGGGGCCCAGGTTGGAGCTGAACTGACGGTTTTCATCATCTTTCATCTGCCTTCAACTTCCAGGGGAAGATGGAGGCTTCCTCCTTGTACGGCTGAGTGTGGCCTCCCCTGAGGACCTCACTGAGCCCAAAGCCGTAGAGAAGCTGATGGACCAGGTAAGTGTTATGTCAGGCGTAAAGTGGGGCGCTCTCGGGGACTCCAGGGAGCATCTGCAGGACACAGAAGGGTGACTACTACATGAAACAGTGTCACATGAAAGAGCCTTAGGAGCTGATCCTGGGGCCCAGGTCTGGCTTTGATCTTGCCTCGCTTCTCAATTCTTCTATATTGTGAATGTGACGTGTATGAAACTCCCCACCTGCAGATCCAGCTTTTTCAGGTTCTGGAAGTGCAGGCCTTCTGGCCTTTGAATCCCAGCGACATGGATGGGAAAGTAAGCAGAGGTCTTGGTTGCAAGCAGCAGCAGCCACCAGGTCATGGTGGTTTACATGGAAAAGGCAGAGTCTGAGAAATCTGCAGGTGGTTCTTCTGCCATCACATATGGCTTGGGCCAGCAGTGGAAATTAGTCATGGGTATTTTCTCTGCAACTCTGGGCCCTTTATTCTTCATGGTCTTTCTCCATGCATATGGAAGGGGGCTATCACAGAGGAAAAAATGAACACAAACATGTTTACTACTCAGCAGCCTACTTCTCCACTTTTATTTATTTTATATTTATTTTGAGACAGGGTTTCTCTGTGTAACAGCTTTGGCTGTCCTGGAACTCACTCTGTAGACCAGGCTGGCCTATAACTCACAGAGATTCACCTGCCTCTGCCTCCCTAGATCAAAGGCTTGTGGTACCACCACCTGGCCCTTCTCCACTCTTACACAGTCCAGTACCCAAACCAAGGGAACGGTGCCACCAATGGTGGGTTAGGTCTTCCCGTATTAAATAACTTAAGACAACCTCCCATAGACAGGCCAAACTGATCCAGACAATGCCTCGTTGAGACTCTTCCCAGGTGATTCTAGAGTGCATCAAGTTGACAAAACCGACCTCACAGCCACCATGACTGACATCCCAATAAACATCACAAGGATGGGAAAGGGTATGAAGTAGGGATGCTAGATAGAAAACCCCTCGGAGATGTGCTCCAGACAGGGAGGAAGATGGTGATGCATTTGTATACCAATTTGGAGAAATCCTCTTAAGTCTAGGCTATTTGTGAAGTTCTGGGGTGAAGGCTTTTGGGGGTGCTGTGAATGAGTGGAAGTTAGACTGGGTCAGCTCAGTATAAATGCCATAGGCCTAGCTCAGTGCAGGTTTTATGAAGTGTCCAAGCTCTACCTGTATTGTGAACAGTGAGAACAGACCTGGGGTACCACCTAAGACAGACTGCTCCTTCCACCCTGTTCCATCAAATGCCTCAGCTAGAGGCAGCCAGACCCTGTCACAGTCAAAGGGGGTCACAGTAGTCCAGGCTCCATGTTACCTCTTGACAGAACAGACCTGAAAGGGAGGCTGACAGACAGCCTTGTGCCGTGGGTAAAGTCCTACAGCCAGGATAGACAGGTGAGGTGATCCATTAGCAGACGGGAGTGGGTGGTACCCCTGCAGGTAGGATCCCTCAGGGAAGGCAAAAGAGGCCCGACATCATCACTATCTGGTCCTGCCTGCCTTCTTTAATTTTTTTTCTATTCCCTTTTCATATTGTAAATAAGTCTCCCCACCCCCACATCTAGTTTTTGTTTTTATCTTATTCTATGTGTATGGATATTTTGCCTGTATGTGTATCTGTGCATCACATCCATGCCTGGTGCCCGTGGAGGCCAGCAGAGGGTATCAAATCCCCCAGGATTGGAGTTACAGATGGTTGTGAGCCACCGTGTGGGTGCTGGGAATCAAACCCAGGGCCTCTGCAAGAGCAACCAGTGCTCTTAACCACTGAGCCGTCTCTCCAACCACAGATCCGATTTGTTTCATGTCTTAGATGTCCAGGCTTCTAAGAAGTCAAGTGACATTGACAGGGAAACAAAGCAAAGCTCTCGGCTGCAAACGAGGGGAGGGAGGACCCCAGATGCACAGAAGCAAAGGGATGACAGAAGAGCAGCTTTGAAAAGGCATGGGGACATGCTCCCTGGGATGCTGTCCCCTTGCTGGTCACTGTCAGAGGGCATCACACTCCATGTGCATCACTGGCACTTCGCCTTTGGTTTGCTTGTTGCGGGGTCAAAGTTCGGAGCAGGAGCATGCAACTGGCCAAGCCTGGCTCTCATACCCACCACTCACTCCCCTGGGATATCAGGGGGGAAGAAATATCTGGGTCTTCGAAGTCTCTTAGCAGCAAAGAGGCCCATGGGGACTACCCTCATGAGGATTTCTGTCTACAAGGCACCCGAGTTTGACCTAGGACAGACAAATAGATGAACATGTCTCTGTCATGAACATCAAAGTAGGAAGCATGGATCCTCATGGGAGGGGCAGGCCACAGTGGAGCATAGATTTGATACCTGGAATGGCAAATATTTCAGGGGTCAGAAAGCAGCCTGGAGCTCAAGATTGGGTCAGGCCACATAAGGTTGCCACTGATTTATTATTATTGTTGTTGTTGTTACTATTATTATTACATTTTATTCCCTTATTTTATGGAATTTGTTAAGTGTATTGATTTTTGTTGGGGTCTGGCCAATGGTGTGAGGCACAGGAGTCAGGCAGATCTGAGGGTGGGTTCTAGTTAGCTGTTTGAGCTTGGGTAAGTCAGTCCATACCATTTCACCCTTTATGGACTGCAGATGAGAACGCCTGCTGTATGTTTTAAATGGCCCCTGTTATCACACTGCTGATGTCTCTCCACTGCCCCTTCCTGTCCTTGGCCTATGGTGGGCTCCTGGGCAGGCAGGCTGGCACCTCATCTGTTCTTTTGCTTTCCAGCTCAGCTGTGAACTGCGCACCCACATGCCACTTGTCCAAGTGTCCTTACTGAGCGTCAGAAGGGGCTGAAGAATGTTAGCTGCAACCAAGCATGTCCTCTGTAGCAGAAGTGTGGTGCTGCCTGTGGCCCGGACCCCAAGCAGACCAAAGCTGTGGTACTGTGCTATGGACCCACAAGGTTCCCATGAAGGTCAGCTGGCCTGAGAACCCTGCCCCATACCTGACCACAAGGCCTTGGTCCACTATGCCTGAGTGTGTGTGCAGGAGGAGAAGGGCTGGCCTGTTTCCAATGGTGTCCTTCACCACCTCTGACTGGTTATTGTATTTCAGTAAAGAGAAAGCTGACCACTCCACCTTGTTCTTCCATTTTGTACTCATGACACTCCAGGTGACCCAGAGATTGTCTGTATTGAGCCCGCATGCCTTAGATGTTTTTATTATGTGGGAATTTGGGGGGTGCTTTCCTGTGGCCTGGTTTGCTTTGGTGTTTACTACGACTTGCCCTGGAGCCTGTTGAACCTGAGCTTGTATCAGTCAGCTCATTGTTGCTATAGCAAAACAGAAGCTCAACAACTTGCAATGAGAAAAAGCTTATTTCTGCTCACAGCTGAGAAGGTTCTGGGTCAAAGTAGGGCAAACCCATTGCTTTGGGCCCCAGGTCAGGTCAATACAGGGCAGCGACCCACTGTTCTGTGTATCAGGTGGGGGTGTCAGGGGACAAAGGTGGGCAGCACCTAGCAGAGCCAACTTCCTGTGCTCAGAAAGCCCAACAAAGGAAGAGGAAGGAGCTGGGGTGCCGAATCCCCTTCAAGGGCACATCCCCAGTGATTTAAGAATTCTCTCTAGCTGGAGACATGGCTCAGTAGTTAAGAGCACTGGTTGTTCTTCCAGAGGACCCTGGTTCAATTCCCAGCACCCACATGGCAGCTCACAGCTGTCTGTAACTCCAGTTCCAGGGGACCTGATTCCCTCACACAGACATACATGCAGGCAAACACCAATGCACATAAAATAAAAATAAATAAACTAAAAAAAAAAGAATTCCCCTCAGGCTCCATCTCCTAAAAGCCCCACCTACCGAGGAACTACCCTGGGGACTAAGCCTTCAACACAGGGACCCTTGAGACACATCCAGATCATAGCGAGCTCCTTCAGGGCAGGGATCATATTTGTTGATCTCAGATCCTTGAGCCTGGAGAACCTGGTCCGAGTGAGGGAGGGCCACAGAGAATGTCAAATTGATTTAAATGTCAAGTTGTGGGCTCGAACAGATTTCAAAGAACGTCTCTAACATGCAGTTATTCCTGCCATAGCTCAGGCTCACCTGCCGTTATTTTAAAAGTAAATGTAGTTTGTTCTTCTCTCGTGAAAGTGTAACTTGCTTATGATTTTTAACTTTTGGAAAACCCCAAAAAGGAACCAGAAAGAGTAGAGTAGAAATAGGAGGTGAGGAGAAGGGGAAAAAACAAATAAACAAACCTGAAATACCAGCTCTCCCTGAAATACCAGCTCTTACATACGGCAGCGTTAATACGTCTGTCCAGTCGCTCTCTCGGCCGCCCACATGGATGAGGAGACACTGTACACTCAACGCTCCCAGATTTGAAGTTCTTAACCCACTTGCTGCATCATCCTCAGCTCAGGTCATTCCACTTGCACCCTTCAGCGGCTCCAGCCCCAATTCTTGGAACCACTAGTCCTTCCCCTTTGTCTCTCACGTTTTATACCAGAAAATTCACCCGGCTTCTCTTCCTCCAACAGTGCCCAGCACCTGGCACTCCCCACATACTGACCATCTCCGTTGCCATCACCCAGGTGGTCTGAGATGCCACCGTCTCTCACCTGTATTACTCCGGCCTCCCTGTTGGTACCTGTGCCCTGCCCCCGCAACACCCAGTCGGGTTCCCAGACATTACCTGGAGATGTCCTTTCATAACATACAGCAGGCCTGTGCTTCATTTGCTCCCATTTCACTCGTAGGAAGAGCCAAGTTTGGGTAACGGCCTGTAGAACTGTGAATGATGGGGACTGTGAATGATGGGGGACTGTGAATGATGGGGACTGTGAATGATGGGGACTGTGATTGATGGGGGACTGTGAATTATGGGGGACTGTGAATGATGGGAGACTGTGAATTATGGGGGACTGTGAATGATGGGAGACTGTGAATAATGGGGGGACTGTGAATGATGGGAGACTGAATGATGGGGGACGGTGAATGATGGGGGACTGTGGAATGATGGGGGACTGTGAATGATGGGGACTGTGGAATGATGGGGGACTGTGAATGATGGGGACTGTGATTGATGGGGGACTGTGAATGATGGGGGACTGTGAATGATGGGGACTGTGAATGATGGGGACTGTGATTGATGGGGGACTGTGAATTATGGGGGACTGTGAATGATGGGAGACTGTGAATTATGGGGGACTGTGAATGATGGGAGACTGTGATTGATGGGGGACTGTGAATGATGGGGGACTGTGAATAATGGGGGGACTGTGAATGATGGGGACTGTGAATGATGGGGACTGTGAATGATGGGGACTGTGATTGATGGGGGACTGTGAATTATGGGGGACTGTGAATGATGGGGACTGTGAATTATGGGGGACTGTGAATGATGGGAGACTGTGATTGATGGGGGACTGTGAATGATGGGGGACTGTGAATAATGGGGGGACTGTGAATGATGGGAGACTGAATGATGGGGGACGGTGAATGATGGGGGACTGTGGAATGATGGGGGACTGTGAATGATGGGGGATGGTGAATGATGGAGACTGTGAATGATGGGGGACTGTGAATGATGGGGGACCGTGAATGATGGGGGACCGTGAATGATGGGGGACGGTGAATGATGGAGACTGTGAATGATGGGGGACTGTGAATGATGGGGAACTGAATGATGTGAGATGTGAATGATTGGGGACTGTGAATGATGGGGGACTGTGAATAATGGGGGACTGAATGATGTGAGATGTGAATGATTGGGGACTGTGAATGATGGGGGACTGTGAATGATGGGGGCTGTGAATGATGGGAGATGTGAATGATGGGGGGCTGTGAATGTTGTACCCACCTCCCTAGGCTGCCCTCTGCAAGCCACCCAGCTGCTTTGTTGATCCTTAGATGCACCAGGCCTGCTCCGGTCTTGGGGCCTTTGTGTGCATTGTTCAGTCTGCTTTTAGAAGGCCTTCCTCCAGACATCCATTCAGCACCTCCTCCCTCTCCACCTGCGTCAGCCCCTCCTTAATGTACTCTACCCACAATACCCTTCTCACCCTATGTACCAAATGCCGCTCTGCTTTGTTATACCTGGTATAGTGTGTATTCCTTTCATTTGTCTTTGTCACCTGAGTCCTCCAACTACAATGAAATCTTTTGCTCATTGTAGCATCCCTAGCACCTTGACCATAGTCAGTACTTCCTGTGTTGATGCATAGTCAGTGCTTCCTGTGCCCAGTCTCAGAGCACGTCCTCAGTGTGAGCAAAGCATGGGGCTCAATCTCCAGCATTGAAATAATGACATAGTTGCTCCATAAATACGTTATATAGATAATGAAAACAATGAGCAGCTGCTCTGGATAAAGGGAGTGTCTATACTCAACTAACACCCTGTGTTCTCAGAATGGGGCAGGAAGCAAATAACTCAAACTCTTACCCTGGTGCATTTGATGAGTCCCTAAAAGAGAGGAGAGACCATGCTGTGTGCCGAGGGGCACTTAAAGATGTCTCTTGGGCTAGGAAGATGCTCACTGGATAAAGGTGCCAGCTGCCAAGCCTAAGGACCCGAGTTTGATCCTGGGGACACACATTATGGAAGTAGAGAACCAGCTCCCTCACGGTGTCCTCTGACCTCCACGACACATGTTTCCTCCCCTTCCTGTACACAAAATAAATAAACAAAATGGTTTTTTTGTAAATGTCTCCTACCACAAATAGTAAAGTTAGCAGGGGATGTTTAGCATCAACAAAGATAACAAACTGGGGGGAAAATCTATTTCCATCACATTTAACCAGAACAGAGTGTCCTTGCTATACAGAGAACTCCTATGGGACAACAGAGAGACAGACAGGCCAGCAGAAAGATGGACAAACAGCGAAGAGAGGTAACTCACAGAAGGAAGAATGTGAATGCCTTCCCATGAAAAAGAAAATTTGACCCTGCTACCAAAGATGGGAAAGTTAATACCGTTAGACATTATTTATTGTGTTTCAGATAGGTAGAGATTTATAATTTTTTAAGATTTATAAAATTTTTAATATTGATAAGTGAAAAGACAATTAAATATTTTTATCATAGATGAAACTCGTACAGGATCTTGAAGGCAAACATGACTATTTGACAATTTAAAGCCTTGAAAAATGTGCATCCCTTCAACCCAGATTTCATTCCTAGTCTATTTCAAGAAAATAATGAATAATCTGTATAGAATTAGTTATAACTGCCAATAAAAAAAAATCTAAGCAAAACTCAAAAAGCTCAAGATATTCCAATAAGGCAGTTCAATACAATATCATTTTATTCAGTCTATAGAGACCCCTGGCTGGAGTGACGACTCATCAGTTAAGAGTGCTTGCTGCTCTTGTAGAGGATTAGAGTTTGGTTCCCAGCAAGCACCTATGTCAGGTAACCTACTTCTGCCTGTAGCTCTAGCTCCAGGATCTGATGCCCCCTTCTGGCCTCAATGAGCATTACACTCATGTGCACATACCTCATCACAGACACACACAACCCACGCAACTAAAAATAAAATAACTAAGGCAGGAGAGATGCCTCAAAACGAACACACACTACTCTTCCAGAGGACTTGAGTTCTAGTGATTAGCATGCAAAGAAGTGCATAAAATATTTTTGCTCTTATTTTCTGAAAATGAAACTATTTTTTTCCTCCAAATTACTTTTCATGTTATCTCTAGCATTTTCCTTTCCAATATCAGAACCACTTCCACTGTTACCTAGAAGACAAACATACTGCTTGGTATACAAGGCCTCAAGATGTGGCCTCAGCTGCTTCCTCACTCCTGGCCCTGCAGCTCCTGCTCCTCTATCCCGTGTCCCTTCCACAGGAGTATCTCATGCTCCCAAGCAACACCAGATTTGATTTGAGTCCTTGCCCTCATGATTCCTTCCTGCTGGAATATTCTCACTTGCATGAGTCCCTTCGCCTGGAAAACACGTATTCATTCTCAGAAGCCCAGTTTGGATGGGACCTTTTCATGTCTCTGTTAGATCCCTAAAGAAGAGCTGATTTCTTGGTCTCTTCGCTTACATTTTTGTGGTAATGCTTGATGTGGTGTGTTATAATTTAGGCATTTTCCAGGTTTCCTAAATTATCTTCATTCAGGATAAGTACTAACTAGTTTAGTGTTTGTATCTGTAGTTACAGAACTGAGCAACAGAGCTGTGGTGATATTGTGTTCCCCAATATATCGTGCACTCT